ATCTAAACCTGCCCATAAACACATTATATATTTTATATAATATGCTCTATTCATTTTAAATTGTTTTATCTGAAATAATATCAATAAATAATAAATATATGTACTAAATCAAAATTAAGCTTACTCGTTTGGCACGTATCACCTGTGAACCCATCCAAGCACTGACATGTGAAACCGTTAATCAAGTCTGTACATGCTGCCCCATTCTCACACAAATTTGCAGCACAGTCATCAACATCTGAAACATAACAAATTATGGGCAAACTTACAAACTTATAACTTACTTCGTTTTTCTTCTTTACATGTTATGTTTAAACTGCTGTAATTAAAATTATTAGTTCAACATCTTATGTTAAACAAACAATGGAGGTGTTTTCTACATCATTTTTTTGTCATTATATATATATATACACATATATATATACATATATATACATATATATATATATATATATAATAAAATAATGATTGTTAACTGAAAATAAACAAAAATACCATCGAATCTAAACCTGCCCATAAACACATTATATATTTTATATAATATGCTCTATTCATTTTAAATTGTTTTATCTGAAATAATATCAATAAATAATAAATATATGTACTAAATCAAAATTAAGCTTACTCGTTTGGCACGTATCACCTGTGAACCCATCCAAGCACTGACATGTGAAACCGTTAATCAAGTCTGTACATGCTGCCCCATTCTCACACAAATTTGCAGCACAGTCATCAACATCTGAAACATAACAAATTATGGGCAAACTTACAAACTTATAACTTACTTCGTTTTTCTTCTTTACATGTTATGTTTAAACTGCTGTAATTAAAATTATTAGTTCAACATCTTATGTTAAACAAACAATGGAGGTGTTTTCTACATCATTTTTTGTCATTTTATTTCGCATTATAACTTCATTAGTACATGAACTGATCCTAAATTAGAATTCTAATTAAATTTATTTTAAAGTAGCTAAAATAAAGAATAGTACTAACAATAATTTAGTGAAGAAATGAACTTTACTTTTTTCTCTTTGTTTTCTTAAAATTATAATTTACAGTCCTTATACATTGTGAATAGATAAAAGTAAATAAAAAGTATTTATTCCCTCATAAATTGTAATTGTTATGATGATAACGAATTTAATATAAAAAATGTCATTTATGATATGTAGGCCTATACATTAATTTATTCTTATATCATTGTTTGAATGAATTTATGTTCAATTTTTCAGTTTTAACAATTCACCAATTTTGTACGTACTATAATAAATACCGCTATTCTATTGAATGTAAGTAACATTAAATATGGATTGTTCACACAGAATATAATCGGATGCTCTAGTTGTATTGTTCACAAAAAATCCCATAACGATCAAAATCGAAGCTTTGTTATTCATATTGTTTAGTAGTTAACAGATCATGAATAATCTATAGGTTTGTAATAATATTCAAATATGTCTTCTACGTCAAAAGAACATGTGTCAAATAGGATTTACAACAACGGAGAAAATCAATAATGCTTGACCTGTAGGTGGTCTACACTCCATCTGTAGAAGTCCCTTAAAGGGTCTCCTCTATTTCGAATTTCTGCGATCCACCACTGTATTTTGAAAATGTAGTGTGGAAATAAAAGTTAATTACATAGGACTAAAAGGTTATACACGCCAGAGCTTCTGGGGCTCCACCACCTCGACCACCACCGGGTACCCTAGGTGGACTTCCTTATTTTGCAATTCGTCCCCGCTCACCCCTCCCCCACTTTTCACAACGGATCGAAGCCCTTGTGTGAACCCATTAATTAGAATTATAATTTATAAAAGATATTTTAAAGTAGCTAAAATAAAAAATAGTACTAACAATAATTTGGTGAATAGACATGTAGTTTACTTTTTTTTCTTTATTTAATTATTGAATACATGTAAAACTAGATATATGTCCGTATAATATTCGATTATTTATCAAATTAATTGCATATATCACCAAGCATACAACGGATACCTACTGATTTCGCATTTGTCTCCTGTTAATCCCACTGGGCATGTACAGGTGTATTTATTTAAAAGATCTTCGCAGACCCCATTATTCAAACATGGTGCGCTTTCACATTCATTCACCTCTGAAACAAAAAAGATGATCAAATGTTTTGAAATATACATTTCCATAACAGGCTGATTGACCCACTTTTGACCCAATAACAATAGTTCAGTAGAAACTTTTTCTATAATGTTATCAGTTAAATACAGAATGTAAAAAGATAAGAGAAAGAAGTAAAAGAAACGTGAAGGAAGGAAAAAAGAATGAAAAGTGAAGAGAAGAAAGAAAAGTAACTAAAAAGAATGATGGTAAAAGTAAAAAGAATGGAAATATTAATTGCTGTTTAGTGGAAAACAAATATAATAATAACCGGTTTATATCACCTATTTCGCAATGTGTAGAAGTGTATCCAGCCTGACATGCGCACACGTAACTATTAGTTCCTTCGATACAGACTCCTCCATTTTGACACGGTGCGCTGGCGCATTCGGCAATATCTGAAAAAAACCACGTTTATTTCTTGGATATGTAAAACGTATTATACTGAATACTAAAAAAATAAAAACCCTATTAATAATTTAACTGAAACATTAAAGGATGCGACAAATTTTTCGTTAAACGAAAATTAACGTAAACCAGAGTGCATTAATGAGCTTTAAGTTATCCACGTGACCAACACAAACATGGCCGAATGATCAGTTTAGTAACAACTTTTAGGTTAATATAAATTTTGATTAAATTTCAGAAAATAAAAATTATAATATTTAACCACATGAAGTCAAAAAAATAATTGTAGGCTAACGGAATTCAAAAACTGGATGAAAACATTTTTTACGAAAACCTCATACTGCCACAAGCCGAAGCAACCTTTATTATACTGCGGAAACTATGCAGCCATTTTGTTTCGTCGAGTATTTATTAGTTTTTTATTCGACTGGTCGTCTTCGTAAAGTAGGATTTTACCTGCGCAGGTGGGCGTGGTTTAACAAAAAACGACCAGTCGAATACGGCCAATGCTATAACAATTGTCATATACACATTACTCACCTGTTTCACAGAGTGTATCAGTAAAGCCTGCTGCGCATGTGCAAGTAAATGCTGCCACAGCGTCTGTACACACGCCATCATTTTGACAAGGGTTTGGTGAACAATCATCAATATCTTTTTAAAAAAATATAAGAATACTGTAGCTTAATATTACAATAATAATAATATAATTATTATTATTATTACGTAGAGAACTACATTTGTTTGTTTACCTAGTTTATTACAAGTCGTGTAGTCAAACGTTGTAATTAATTTTACAATTATTTATAAAGATTATTTCCCAGTTGTATTTCTTTCTCGATGAAAGTAAATTACGGACCTATCTCGCAGTTTGTTCCTTCGTAGCCTTCAACACACTCACACCAGTAGCGGGCCGCATCCTCGTCACATCGAGCGCCGTTTTGGCAAGGTTGAGACAAGCAATGAACAGCAACTGAAATAAAAATAACACCGCATAAGCCAATTTGTGGTTGGACCTGTGCATGCACGTATCTAGTGGTATCCAAGGTCAATTGACATAAACCAATGTTTTATGTATGTTTGTTTATGTCGGGTGACCTTGAAACCAAGCATTCGCGGTTCAAACTACGAATGGCTTATTACAAATAATAATCACTATTATATTTTACTGAGTGTCACAACGAACCATATCGATTTAAAAAATGTAATTTCTATGTTCAACCAGTAAAATTCTTCAGCGCCAATAAAAAAAATACATTCATTGTTTAAAAGTTATCAGTCAAAAAACAATATAACATAACCATATAGTGTCGTCAGCTATTGACATTAACCGAAAGGTCCACTGCTTAATCTCAGATAGTATAATACATACCAAGTATTGAAATGCACGCTATCGTGTCGGAATCAACCATTCCTGATGATGACATAATTAATGTCGAAATATTGAATCCTGACACGATTGCGTGCATTTCGATATTTGGGGTAAGTATTATTCTATTGATAATAATATAGCCTACTTGCCTGTCTGACATGTTGTGCCGACAAACGCCAGAGGGCAGTTGCAGACAAATTTACCAGGTTGATCGTCACACACTCCTCCGTTGACGCATGGATCTACTTGGCATTCATTGATATCTGAAGTATAGTGAAGTATAATTAAGAAATCATAAATGCATCAAGTTTTTTTTTTCTTAAAAAAACAATAAAAACGTATCTTGTATTGATTTATTGATTGATAATATACCAACATATTTCAGATTAAAATATTTATTTTTTTAATTTAGTGTTACAGCTTGTGAATAAAATGTTTACTATATGGTCCTAGTCTAAAAAGCCATAATCTAAAATTTACTTAGGAGAAACTATCGTGTTTCAGGCAATTACTGATTTTCAATTACATAATATATCTAAACACAGATTATATTAAATTATATGACAGACAACAAATTGAAGAGAAACAAATAATAAAAAATAATAAATAAGCAACAACACAAACGGATTGGACATTCAATTAGACAGGACTGCCTTCTAAAAATTGTCTTAAAAGTTTGATATATATGGGAAAATAAACTAGAGGAAGAAAGAGATGTGCTTTCCTGGAGAGAATAAAAAATGAAATGCATACCAACAGTTAAGTCAGACAACAGAAAGAAAAAACGAATCTGAAAAGATCTCTGCTGTATTACCTATTTCACAATCATTTCCTTCAAAACCGACTAAACATTGACAAGTGTAAAGTCCAAGACCGTCAATACACGTGCCACCGTTCTGACAAGGGGAATTCTTACAATCATTGCGGTCTGAAACGATGAAATAACATAAAGCTAAGATCAAAGTGACAAATTACAATTTGGCTTTTATGAAAGCGAAAGAACAATTGAACACTAATATTAACAGAGAAAGGCAAGTGATGTTACTGACTGTTCCTGCAGCGACCACCGAAGTACCCGGTGACACAGATGCAATTAAAGCTATTAATTTGGTCTTCACACGTCGCTCCGTTTAGACAAGGATTGCTGTCACATTCGTTGATTTCTAATAGAAAAAAAATCGAAATCTGGTCACCATATATATATA